AAGAAAGCCTCTGGCCTCCCCTCTTCCTCCTCCTCCTCCTCCTCCTCCTCCTCCTCCTCCTCCTCCTCCTCCTCCTCCTCCTCCTCCTCCTCCTCCTCCTCCTCCTCCTCCCCCCCCCCTCTGCTCCCCATCCTCCTGCTCTCCTCTGCCTCCTTCTCCTCCTCTTGCTTCTCCTCCACATCCTTCTCCCCCCTCCTCCTCTCTCATCCACCTCCTCCACCCTGCCCCCCCTCGTTTTCATCTTCGTCGCTCTCAGGGTCGGCGGCAACGGCCGTAAGGCCTTCGCAATCATTGATTATACGAAGGTGTTGGCCACATGTTGGCCTCTTGGGGGGGGGGCTCAATGAAGAAGCTTCCCTCCTTTGATCGAGCTCCTCCAAGACGGCCCCAAAATGATTCCCGAGGCTGCCCAGGGTGCCCCAAGGCGGCCCGGAGAGGTGTCCAGGAGGACCCAAGAGGCCCCCATAAGAGGCCCCCAAGAGGCCCCCTCAAGGGTCCCCCAAGCGGCCCCCAAAAGACCCCCAAGGGGCCCCAAGAACCCCCCCCCCCAGAGGCACCCAAGACGCCCCAAGAGGCCTCGGCGAGAAGACCAACATCATCCATGTGACTAAGGTGTGGGCCACATTTGGGCTTCCTGGGAGGGGGGGGGGCCCTAATGTACTACGGCCCCTCCTTTGCTCGATCTCCTCCAAGATGGCCCCAAGATGGCCCCAAGATGGCCCCCGAGGCCCCCAAGGGTGCCCCAAGACGGCCCCGAGAGGTGCCCAGGAGGCCGCAAGAGGCCCCCGAGAGGCCCCCAAGACGCCCCCAAGCGGCTCCCCAAAGATTCCCAAAAGGCCCCACGAGGCTCCCCAGAGGCACCCCGAGAGGCACCCCAAGAGGCCCCCGGTACTGCCAAGAGACAGCCAAGACACCCGAAGAGGACTCCAACAAGCTCTCGGAAGAAATTTAAAGAGACTCCGAGAGGCATCCACGAGGCTTCTGGCCGTTCCGCTTGCCCTCCTCCTCCTCCTCCTCCTCCTCCTTCTCCTCCTCATTCCCCTCCTCCTCCTTCCACTCCTCCTCCTCCCCCTCCTCCTCCTCCCCCTCTTCCTCCTCCTCCTCCTCCTCCTCCTCCTCCTCCTCCTGCCTCCTCCTCCTCCTCCTCCCCCTCCTCCTCCTCTCCTCCTCCTCCTCCTCCTCCTCCTCCTCCATCCTCCCCCTCTTGGGTTACGACGCCGTACCCAGCCCCGTATTACACTGCATGCTCACCCACACACCTGATCAGGGCAACTCGTCTGGGCACCGCTTCTGGATGAGCTGGTGGGGTTACGCGAAGCATCTAGAACAATAGCATCTGGCACTGTGAGATTGGCGACCGTGGGAGCGGACACCTGGCTACAATGCGGGGATCGGCTCGTGCGAGAAGGCGGACGCAGGGGAGGGCCGTCAGCTGCAATGCGGGGATCAACCCTTGCGGGAAGGCGTGAGGTGTCAGCACCTGGCACCGCGAGAAATGCGCAGCAGGGGATCATCGGCTACAACGCTGGGACCAGCTCCTGCGAGCAAGGGCACAGTGGCAGCACCTGGCACCTTGGGAGCAGCCAACCAGCTACGGTATAGGGATCAGCTCGTGCGAGAAGGCAGGCGACCGTGGGAGCAGCTCCGCAACCACTGCACAAGGACCAGCTAGCGGGAGAAGGCGGACGCGGGGGAGTGTCAACAGGTACATTGCAGGGGTCAACTATTGCGAGAAGGCGAACAGCGGCAGCATCGGGCACCATGAGAAAGGCAACCAAAAGAGCAACTCACCAGCTGCAGTGCAGGGATCAGCTCGTGCGAAAAGGCAGGCGACCCTGGGAGCAGATGACCAGCCAGAGAGCAGAGATCAGCTCGTGCGAGAGGGTGGACGCAAGGGAGGGCCACGAGCTGCAGTGCAGGGATCCGCTTCTGCGAGAAGGCGCGCAGCGGCAGCAGGTGGCACAGCCAGGTCGCCACTGCAGGGATCCAGCCGTGCGGGAGCTGGCGGACGGGCTACCGAGACGCGGCACAGCAGTCTCGGCGGACCACCGCAGGGTGAACAGGCAGGCGGGATGTCGAGTGGAGACAGCCAGCTCGGCAGACCACTGTCAGGACGAGTGCGAGGGCAGAACGTGGTTGATTTTGTCACGTGCGTGCGCGTTCGAAGCGCGGAAGTGGTGCGGCATGCGTGGCAGGCTAGCCAGCTGATGAAGACGTTGTGGAAAGGCAAGCAGCCCGACCACGATTGGCCTATGGGGTGAGGGCCCCAGCAGGCCTTGACCCAGAAGGCCTCGACAACACGCTTCTGCACGGTAGAGGCAGGACCCAATGGCACCCGCTAATCCGTTTTGTCCCTCCACCTCTCCCCCAATTCTTCTCTGAGAAAGCACCAAAGAAGGGGGGGAAGGAGGAGGAGGAGGAAAAGGAGGAGGAGGAGGAGGAGGAGGAGGAGGAGGGGCGCCCTCCTCGGGGAAGGACAAGCACGAGGAGGAGGGCAAAGAGGAGGAGGAGGAGGAGGAGGAGGAGGAAGAGGAGGAGGAGGAGCAGCAGCAACAGCAGCAGGAGGACGAAGAAGGATGAGGGCGCGACGTCCAGGAATTCTCAGCAAACACGGCCACGCGCTGCGCGCCAGGCCCGCCCCGCTCACGGCCACCGCGGCCACCGCAGGGCGCAGGCCACTGGCGTGGCGTCGTCTCGCCGCCCTGCGCCTCCCGCAGCCGGGCCGACGGTGTGGCAAACCGACTGCCGCTGCTGTGATCCGTCGCCTGGTCGCTGCCGCCGGCCTCCTCCCCGCAGGCTTGGCCGGGCCACGTTGACGCCTGCGTGGGACTCGAGCGCACTCGGGCGGCCCTGGTCCGCACCGCCACCGCGCGCCAGCCGCTGCCCGCAGCAGCCAAGAGGCCTCGCTCTGCGCTGGCCGCCGCCGGTGCCGAGCACCGCCCGCTGGCCACGGCAAGCAGGAAGCTCCGCTCTGCGGCCTGGAACCAGCCCTCGCTGATGGCAGCTGGCTTGGACCTCACCTGCTGCAACGGCCCTCTGCAGATGGCGTTGGGCCTTGACTTCGTCACTTCACTGGCTGGCTCCGCTGAAGCCTGCTGCTACGGCTTTCCCTTCCCGCACTCGACCTGAGACTCCACCTGCTGCTCCCCCTGCGCTGTTGAGTCCGCCAGCGGCTGCACGCCCATCTCACAGTCTTCGCCCGCTGCCACTGCTCGCTCTTCTCGCCCTGGCGTTGCCACTGCCCCCGCTTTCATCACTCTCTTGAGCCTGCTGCCACTGCCCACTCTTCTCGCGTTGGCGGTGCCTCTGGCTCGCTCCTCTGACGCTCTTGAGCATTATTCCACATATGCGCTTTCTCACGCACTGCAGCCTGCTGGCCCCCGTACTCCTCTCACACTCTTAGGCCTGCCACCGCCGATCTTCACGGCCTGGCCGCCACTGCACGCACTTCTCCAGAGGTCGGACGCAAGCTCGGCCCCCAGCCGTTTCGTAGGCGATGATGTTGGGCTCCGACTTCGCCTGGGCATGCCGAACACAGCTAACGGCGGTGGGCTCCGACCGCTGCCAGCTGCCACTGCTCCGCCTTCTGCTGCTGCTGAACCCGCTGCAACTGCAGGCTCTGCTCGCGCTGGTTCGACTGCTGACACAGCGCGCTGTCTCCGCAGCTGACGACGGTGGGTCTCATCGTCCTGTCTTCTTGCCATTGCCCTGCGCACTCGCCCACCTTGAGCGGGAACACCAGGACCAGCGGGAAAGGGGCCTCCAACTCCTCGTCGTGGAGGGCGTGCTCCACTCATGTGTCGTGCGCTTCGCTCTGCTACACTCCCTGGCCCTGGCTGGCCCTGCAATGCCAAAGCACGTGCACCTGCTGCCGAGGGGCTGTCACCACTCGCGAGCTCCATGCAGACCTAGAGGGCGCGCTGTGCCAGAGCCTGGCTGCCGCTGACGTCGAGGGTGAAGCTGCAGGCGGGATGGTCTCTACCAAGATCGAGCAGCATCAGCAGTATGCTTTACTACCCGACCTTGCACGGCCGCTCCGCCCGCGTCCTCGGCCGCAAGCCCAGCTCTGGCCGGGCACATCGTGTAAGCGCTGGGATCTGCTCCCGTGGGCGTCAACATGTAGGCAGGGGCGCCCGATCGTTGGGGCCCAGGTGGCTCGAGAGGGCGAGGTGGGAGGAGGAGGAAGACAAAGACAAAGATGGCGATGAAGATGAAGATGGAGATGCAGATGAAGATGAAGATGAAGATGAAGGTGAAGGTGACGATGAAGATGAAGATGATGATGGTGATGGTGATGGTGATGGCGATGGTGATGACGACGATGATTCGAATTGTAATACAAATACAATAATACAAATGAGACGAACCATACTAGTAAGAAAAGCACTACTAATAGTATGCAGACTTATGATAATGCGAATCGCATTAGTACTTAATCTAATAAGCATAAGAATAGTAGTGTTGATGATGTTGCTGATGATGATGATGATGATGATGATGATGATGATGATGATGATGATGATGATGATGATGATGATGATGATGATGATGATGATGATGATGTTTATGAGGTGGAGGGGGAGGAGGAGGAGGAGGAGGAGGAGGAGGAGGAGGAGGAGGAGGAGGAGGAGGAGGCGACGAATCTCGTGACGTGCTTGGGCTTCGTCGGGATTGTGTTGCTGGTCTTGCACGGCCCGGCCTCGCTGCACGAGGCGGTGCCGCGATCTCCTGACGCTACGGGCCAGCTCGGCCCGACGGCACGCCGACGAAAGCAGGCGACAAAGCTCTCGGCCGTTGTGACGAGCCGATCCGCCGCAGCGGGCACCGATGCAGGAGGCGGCGGAGGAGGAGGAGGCGGAGGGGGTCGGTCGGGCACGGCTCCGGCGCGGTCGCAAACGCGTGAAGGGCTCTCGCCGAGCACCGCGGGCCTCACGCCCTGGAGGAGGAGGAGGGGGCGGGGGGGGGAGGACAGCCGAAGAGCGCGGGAGGCGTGCCCTCTCCTTCGGGAAAGACAGGTACAGCTGGGGCACGTCGCGGCCCTCCCTGGCCCCCTGGTGGGCCAGCTTCGCCGAGACGGTGACGGAGTCGTCCCCGACCTCGGCCTGGGCCTCCGCAGGAGCAGGCCGCCGCCGCCGCCGCCGCCGCTCAGTCGAGGCTTGCTTGAGAAGCTCGTTCGCACTGCTCGACCTCAGGGGGCTGCCGTCGGGCCCCAGGACGCCCAGCAACTGCTCTGGGACGACAGCGCGCCCGGGTCGGGGCTGCTGGGGCCGTCTCCGTCGCCGCCCGCCCCCGAGATCTCCGGCGCGGCGGGAGACAGCTGCAGCCTCCGGACCAAGCCGATCCTGGGCCCAAGGCCGGTGCCCTCCTCCTCCTCCTCCTCCCCCTCCCCCTCCTCCTCCTCCTCCTCCTCCTCCTCCTCCTCCTCCTCCTCCTCCTCCTCCTCCTCCTCCTCCTCCTCGGGCCCCACCTTATACCGCACCACGTCACGAGCTGCATCCACCTGTGTGTGAGAGCCCCGGGGCCCCCGACACCGGGCGAAGGCGCGCGGCTCGACAGCATCGGGGATGCTATGAGACCTCGGGGCCGTCGCCGTCGGCGTCGCCGCCCTCGGCGCGCGAGCCTGCGGCGGGGAGCCACGGAGGCTCCGTCGGGCGGCCGCCCTCGGGGCCCCGGGACACCCAGCTGCCCGGGGCGCGAGCCCTGACCTTCCAGGAGGGCGAAAGAATAGCACGCGACTTAAAAACATATCCCAGAGCTATCCTATGTCTTCATTTTAGGCTGTTTCGCAAAGATTTTTAGGTTTTTAGGCCTCCAGTGCTAAAAAATAGCTCTCTGGAAGGTCAGGGAAGAGAAAGGCTCCAGGGAATGGGTGGGGTGCTGGGGATGTGTGGTCCTCGTCGTCGCCGTCGTCGTCGCTCGCGCCGCCGCCCTCGTCGCTCGAGCCACGTGGCGGGGGGAGCCACGGCGGCTCCGGTCGGCCCCCGAGGGGGCAGCACCCGGAGTTAGGTCGGGCATGTCCCCTACAGGCGGATTCTGGAAGGGAAATGAAGACTAGTCGCAACAATTCCCCAAAATCATCGACAAATAATCGAGAAAAGACGTCCCCCGCCTACTTGTTGACTATCTTTGAATACTCCTCCTGTAGGGGGGACATGCCCGACAGAAGCCGAGGTCCGCGCGCACCCCCGAGGCACCAGCCCGGGCACCTCGAGGCACCCACAGCCAATCCAAGGCGCGCGGCGCCTCCCTGACCTTCCAGAGAGCCATTGTTTAGCACTGGAGGCCTAAAAACCTAAAAAACTGGGCGAAACAGCCTAAAATGAAGACATCGAATAGCTCTGGGATAGGTTTTTAATAGGTCGCGTGCTGTTTTTTAGCCCTCCTGGAAGGTCAGGGCTCCGCGAGCGCACACGAGCACCGGCCCCAGCGCTGTCCCGAGGCCAGGGCGAGGAGCGCACCGGGCGAGGGCAGGTGGAGAGTCGAATCTCTGAGTTATGTTGCTCCCATCGTACGGAAGGGCCCCATCCAAAAAAAAATTGTCGAGCACCCAGGAAAGGATACCGGAGAAACGCCCCAACAAGAACTCTTTTAGGGCGAGAGGGCTGTGGGGCTGTAGGGCGATAGGGCTGTAGGACTAGAAGGCTATGGGGTTACAAGGCTATAGGGCTATTGGGGGATAGGGCTCTAGGGCTATAGGGCTATCAGGGTTATAGGGCTATTAGGGCTATAGGGCTATAGGGCTATTGGGCTATAGGGCTATAGGGCTATAGGGCTACAGCGCTATAGGGCTGTAAAGTTATTAGGGCTATAGGGCTATAGGGCTATAGGGCTATAGGGCTAAAGGCCGGCCATAGGGCTACCGGACAACCGGGCACCCGGGCACCCGGGCACCCGGGCGTGCCGCCGAAATCGGCGCCAAACATCACCTAACAATATGAACCCGCTAGGACCCCTACAGAGGCAAGCTCTGATTGGGGAAGTATCGAAAGAGTGTCGAACGAGTATCGCCTCCCAGACCCCGAGACGTGAAAACCCTCAGTTTTGGTACGTTCGTGGTGCTCGACAGTGAATCTGGCGGTTCAGGCTAAAGTAGATTGGAACATCAGAATCTCTGAGGTCCCGCGGCCCTGGAGAAGTGAGGGGCAACGATAGGGGGGGGACTGGCAAAGGGGCGGGGGGAACGTCGGCGTGGAAGGCGGCGATGCATCGCCGACAGATCGGCGACAGGCCCCCGATAGCGCATCCGCACGCTGCTGGGCGGGGTGGGGCTAGCAAACCCCATGTCGGCGATCTGTGGGCGAGTGGGGGTCGATGCACCCCCCCATACACAGCCGTGACAAAAGTTTCTTCAATTTGCTATGATGAAGATCTCTCCCATCCCTCTCAAGATTCCTAACATGACATGATGCTGGGTCATTCGGCGGAGTAGTTTCCGATCCCGGGGACGATAATAACTCTGTTACCCCAAAACGGGATCGGAAACTACTCCGCGCCAAGCCATATAAATTACCGAGCGGGATGCGATTGCGCGCGGAGTAGTTTTAGTAAAACTACTCCGAACTACTCCGCACAAACGCGTCATTCCAAAAGGCAAATTGAAAGAAACTTTCGTCACGGCGATATGCCCATTCCCCCCCTGTCGTTGTCCCTGAAAAATGCATCGGGCACCGCGGCTTCTCGGAGCGGAACGACTCGGTCCTCGCCCGGCCTCGCCCCCAAGGGGGTCCAGGATCGGCCCCTCTCAGGAAGCCCTGGGCCCCCCGAGACGAAGCACGGCCGAGCAGAGGATCCAGGAGACTGCCATGGGAATCGATCGTGAGGACGGGCGGTAAGGGCGCAGGGGCCTTGGACGCCGAAGTTGGCACTTTTTGGGCGGCGGACTGCCAACCCCCTGAAGGGCTGGCCAGTGAAAACCGCGAAGGACAGGCCGCAGAGGCAAGGACGCAAAGGTACCGTAGGGACATCCGTGCGTCCTGACCCTGAGGTTTGACTGAATCGGTTAAGGAACCTGGGCCAGCTTTTTCCTGAACTATCTTGCTCTCTGCCGTTCACGCTAGAAGGGCGAACGTGCTCAAGAAGCTGGGCCAGCATTTTCTGGCAAGTTGGTGAAGAAACGCTGGCCCAGCTGTTCGGGAGGAGGCTTCTTGATAAGATGCTCGACTGTACGCCGCCTGGTGTGGCAGCATCTGCTTCCGCATGCTCCTGGCGGCTTTCGGCGGAGCGGCCAGCCGCTGTCGAACGCGTTAGCCCGGGTCAGTGCTAACCCAGCCCGCCAGATGTCGTGAACCTGGGTGGGCCATCCATGGTAGCTCACACGATTGGCCAAGTGGAGGGTGGGGAGGGCGGGTTCGGCACCACGCGGCTCCCAAAACCTGGTCTGGCCCTGGCGGATCGGAAAGGACTGGCTGACCGCCGTCGGCGCTGACCCACGCTGCATGCGCCCCACACGACGTCCGCTGGCCTCCGCTGGCCTTCCGCCGCCCCGCCGCCGCGGAAGGTGAGGTCAACCCCGGGCCCACCACCCGAAGGCGAGGCACTCCCGAGGGCAAGGCCGTCCCCCGGGAAGCCGGCGGCGGAGGAGCTAGGAGCGGGAGGCCTCGCTGTACTGCACCTCGGCGCTGCCGTACGCGAACAGCCCGAAGCCGAAGGGGTAGGACACGTCGATCCCGCGCGCGTGGTACCAGCGATAGCCGATGAGGGCCTCCCTCCTCCTCCTCCCCCTCCTCCTCCCCCTCCTCCTCCCCCTCCTCCTCCTCCTCCTCCTGCTGATCCGTTCCTCTTCCTCCTAAATAACTCTTCCCCGTCGCACCCCGAGGCCGGTCGATAGGGCGGGCCGAGCGTTTCGCCCGAGACTTCCTCACCATTGATCACCCTGAAGCTTCATAATTGACAAAAGTTTCACACATGGAGGGCGAGGGGGGGTTCAAAGTGTGGCTCTCGCCTCAGCGCCGCGTACATTCGTTGCAAAAACTTGCAAGAGCTTCACGGATTGAAGGCGGGCGGTTTTCAACATGTGGCTCTCGCATTAGCGCCGCGCACATTCGTTTTTTCCAAACTTTACAAGAGCTTCACGGAGTGAGGGCGGGCGGTTTCAAAATGTGGCTCTCGCCTGAGCACCGCGCACATGTTTTCAAACTTTGCCAGAGCTTCACGGATTGAGGGCGGCTTGTTTTCAAAATGTGGCTCTCGCCTTAGTGCAGCGCACATTCGTTTTACCTGATATTGCCGCGAACCCCCGACCATGGAGGACAAGTGGGCGTGACTTGCGAGGAAGAGAGAAACAAAGAAGAGGATGCCTATACGGCGCATAATGCTGATTCTAATGTTGTCCGTTTGACGCTGTGCCGCTTTCAGGCGCATGATGCTGCTTCCCGAGTTGTCCATTTGACGCTGTGCCACTTTGTCGGAGCGTCTCCGACCATCTTGTAACCATGTTGGGCACTTTTCGGGCCCTGGGGCGTCTCTGGCCATCGCGGGGCCCTCTTAGGCAGTCGGGGGCTTCCTGGAGACCTCTTGGAGGCTTGTTGGGGCCTCTTGGGGGCCTCTTTTGGCCTCCTGGGGGGTTCTTTGGGCGGAGAACCCAAAATGTCTGTCCCTGCCCATCCTCTGGGGCCCCTCTTGGGGCGTTCCTGAAGCCATCATAGGCCGTCTTAGAAACAACCTCTTGGGCTGTCCTGGGGGCGTCTTGGGCCGTCTGGGCGCTCTCTTGGGGGCGTCTTAGGCCGTTTGGGGGAAATCTTTGGGGCCTCGTGGGCCGTCTTGGAGCGTCGGGAGGCCGACAAAGCGAAAACGCGGAGCACTTGCAAACACCGATGCAAAAAACATATGAAGTTTGACTCTTGGGGTTCTCCTGGGGACCTCTTAGAAGCCTCTGGGGGTGTCTTGGGGGCTTCCTGGGCCGTCTGGAGGCCACCTGGGACGGCCTAGACCGGTCTTTCGGCGACCCGTGACCCTCTTGCTCTGCACCATTTTGCGGACCATTTTGCGGCCGTCCGTGCCGCCTGGAGACGCGTCTGCCGAAATGGGGCCAACTCCGACTTCAGCCGAGAGCTGCCATCTTCTGCCGGCTTCTGCAGGCGTTCCGCCCGTGGCCAGGGCCAGATCCCAAGGGTTCCCCCCCAGACCCCTGCAGGGGAGCACGAAACGGGAACCCCTCAATGTCGGGGAAAAAATTACAAGAGCTGCTCGGATGCCCATGGACAAAATACCAGAAACAATATTTCGGAAGACATTCTGGATTGTGAGGGCGCAACAGCTGCGTCGATTCGCGGCGTGGAAGACCCAGGAACGGTGTTCCGGCACGACCCAGGATCGTCAAAACGCAGCAGTCAGGTTGATCCGTGGCGTTGGAGTTCCCTACTACCCTCGTCAAAGTTGACCTCAATAGTTGCTGGCACGTCATGTCGATGTCGGCGCGCCCCTCGATGTCGACACGCCGCCCCTTCAATGTCGGGGCGAGGGC